CTGAGGAAGACCGGCTCTGAGCTAACATCTATTGCCAATCCTCCTCCTTTTTTTTTTCCCCAAGGCCCCAGTAGCTAGTTGTATGTCATAGTTGCACATCCTTCTAGTTGCTGTATGTGGGACGCGGCCTCAGCATGGCCTGAGAAGCGGTGCGTTGGTGCATGCCCGGGATCCGAACCCGGACCGCCAGTAGCAGAGCATGCGCACTTAACCGCTAAGCCATGGGGCCGGCCCCTAACGTTTTTTTTTTAATATAAAAGACATTTCATTAAAAATCATTTTCTTTATTTGACTTTCCATATTACTAAACTGGTTTGTGTATTTTACTGGTGTGCCAACTCAAGTCAGATTGGAAGAGAAAAATAGTTCACTCACTGTCTTCTACATCCTTCCTTTTTCTGGGTGTGAGCTTTAACAAAGGAGAGAATAGGGCTGAAAATTCAGGAAGAGAAAGAGGGTCCATTGTATTTTTATGAGACTGACCTATAAGAAATACAGAACCCAAAATAATCCTTTTGCTTTATTGTAATTGACAGTTCTGGAAAACGAGGATTTCCTGGTCCTTACAGTTTCCTTCCTCATGTCTACCTTTCTGATAAACTGAATCTTTGTTTAGACACGATTGCAGGCAATCCAATTAAAATTAGATTCCACTTATATATTCGGTTTGCCCAGCTGTGTAGATGCTAATAGACTGACGTTCAGCTCATAGCTTCAGCGCACAATAAATACATTCACATCAGCCTTTATTGCACTGCTCTGCCTCCTGGGAACACAGCCTTGACTATTTGAGCACTTTTGCACAATTATCTTTCGACAGAATTAAAGGACAGAAGCAGCACTGAATTAGGAATCAGAAAGCATACACCCTAGCTATGCGATCTTGGGAGAGTCACATATCACTCTCAGGCCAGTTTCTCCACCTGTAAAATGAGGATAATTAGACCAACCCTGCTGTTTTGCAAGCTTATTATAAGAATAAAAGCAAAGATTGTATCATAAAGTACTTTGAAAACTCTGAATTGTGATGCACTTTTTAACCACTATACCATTATTGTTATTGGCACTTTTCTAGCATCCTTCACAAGCTCAATGATCATGTCAGCTGATCATCCAGGCCTGACGTTTTCCCTGCACCTCATAAGGAGTGAACCAACCTATAACCAGCCAGTCCAGCAGTGGAGCTTTGTGTCTGACTTGGCAGTAAGTGACTACAGCTCTTACTTAATTTGCTTTTTCTGCTACCTCTGATTGCACCTTAGATTTTTTAATGTTCTCTCTTCTCCTCAAAGGTGCGTGACTACTCAGGAACCTACACTGTAAAACTGCTGCCATGCACCACTCCATCACATCAGGAGTACCGCCTGCCAGTCATCTGCAACCCCAGAGAGCCTGTCACCTTTGACCTTGACATCCGATTCCAACAGGTGTGTCTCATAGAATTCTTTCTCCATGACTTGTAGAATCCCACTTCGTTAAAGTCGTGGTTTACTTTTATCAATAAAAAAAATTTTTCCCACCATAACTTTAATCTTGCATGCTGAGCAAAAAGAAGTCAGACAGGAAGGAAGCAAGGGAGGAAGGAAGGAAGGATTGCCCTTTATCTGTGGTTTGTTCAGTATATAAAATCCATAGTTTAAGAGTGTGCGAGGGTTATTGTTTTTTCCTTATTTGATTTTATCTCATCTCCTCCTGGAGTTTGCTCTCTTGGAGATTTGAGATGTTCCCCAGAGTTGTTCTGCGCTTCTTCATCTTGTTCTTGATCTTCAAGGAAAATAAATATCCTGTAGTTCATGCCACCTCAAGGTACCTAATTTCCATTATGTATGAAAAGAAATATGATGGCACATTTTGCCCAAGAACTTATACTAAATATTGGCCTTCCACTGACCATGATATTTGCAAGTCCCTTAAATACCCTGATAAACCAATGGAAATGAGCTCAAACAATGCTATTTAGTTCCATTCAAAAGATGATTTAGCCTCACTAGTTTTGCCTTTTCAAGAAGGACAAAGCTAATGTTACAATTCCCGAAGTTGATTTGGTTGGACATGAAAATTGGCAGTGTTGTGTTTAGTATTCTACATGTCAGTATACAGTAAACGTGTGTTTCTGTGAATAATGTGTTTGTGCCCCGTCAGAACCATCAACAATGCATAATAGGGCTTTTACATTTGGTTTTAGGTCAGTGATCCAGTGGCAGCTGAGTTTAGCTTGAACACCCAAATGTACCTACTCGCCAAGAAGAGTCTCTGGTTGTCTGATGGATCCATGGGATTTGGGCAAGAGAGTGATGTTGCTTTTGCAGAAGGTATCACTTTACAAGTGACAGGCCTGCTGTCTGTTTGCCATTGTATCTGTTGTCCTTTGCTTTATTGGAATCGTGTGTGAGGGGAAAATTATAACCTCTTGAATGGTTTTGAGATTATAACTGGGTCTTTATCACTTTGATGGGGATGGGAGGGTCGCCGAAATTGGATATGTGTTACAGGAGGGTTTTTATTTGGGGGAAGTTAACCTCTATTTCCCTTACCTAAATAACTTTTGGAACAAGTCTGGATTTTTTTGGTCTTGAGTGTTTTTTCAAGTTATGTCGACTCAAATGCTGCAGCTATGTGAGACTGTAAACACCTCATGGGCAAGGGTTGTGCCTGTCTTGTTCAGTGGTGTATTCCCAGCATCTAGCAGAATATCTAGCACGCGTGGTAGGAGTTCAGTAATAGTTGTGAAATAGATGATTAAATACCAGGGGTGTCCTTAAACCCTATCTCAAAATCAAATAAAGCTAATTTGGCTTTTTATTGATGTTTTCTTTTTTAGTGTTACTCTATACTGTATTAGTCCGCATCTTGCCAACTATTTTTTTAATGTAAACTGGATTTTTTTATTGATGTTTTAATAGTTTATAACATTGTGAAATTTTTGGTTGTACATTTTTGTTTGTCCATCACCATGTACATGTCTCCCTTCACCCCTTGTGCCCACCCCCTAACCCCATTGCCCTTGGTAACCACAATACAGTTTTCTCTGTCCATGTGTTGGTTTATATTCCACATATGAGTGAGATCATACGGTGTTTGTCTTTCTCTCTCTGGCTTATTTCACTTAACATAATAACCTCCAGGTCCATCCATGTTGTTGCAAATGGGACGATTTTGTCTTTTTTATGGCTGAGTAATATTCCATGGTATATATATACCACATCTTCTTGATCCAATCATCAGTTGAGGGACACTTGGGTTGCTTCCACTTCTTGGCTATACTGAATAATGCTGCAATGAACATAGGGGTGCATAAGCCTCTTTGGATTGTTGATTTCAGGTTCGTTGGATAGATTCCCAGTAGTGGGATAGCTGGATCATAGGGTATTTCTACTTTTAATTTTTTGAAGAACTCCATACTGTTTTCCATGGAGGCTGCACCAGTTTGCATTCCCACCAGCTGTGTATGAGGGTTCCTGTTTCTCCACATCCTCTCCAACATTTGTTGTTTTTTGTCTTGGTGATTATAGCCACTCTAACGGGCGTGAGGTGATATCTTAGTGTTGTTTTGATTTGCATTTCCCTGATGATTAGTGATGTTGAACATCTTTTCATGTACCTATTGGCCATCTGTATATCTTCTTTGGAGAAGTGTCTGAATGTAAACTGGATTTTAACCACAGTGGGATGTTATGAATGTTAAAATATAGGCCAAGGCTTGAGGTTATCCCCACTACTGGCTGAGCATGTGAGGGTCAATAAATCTTTAGTCACTTGTGATCAGTCTGCAAAGTGGTCTTATCTGAGGCCTGGGAGTGGACCACCTCCTGAAGCTAACACAAAAGGTCTTCAACATTTGATGCCAGATTAGGAAGAGAAGGAGATACTCTCTAGTGTCATCATTGTCACAAATTGTTTGCAGTGTCACATAGACACACCTTATCACTTAATAGAAATAACATTTCCACATCTCTGTTTCAGGTGATATAATTTATGGTCGTGTCATGGTAGATCCTGTCCAGAATCTAGGTGCTTCCTTTTACTGCAGCATTGAGAAGGTGTTCCTGTGCACCGGAGCTGACGGCTACGTTCCCAAGTATAGTCCAGCAAATGCAGAATATGGCTGCTTAGCTGATTCTCCTTCACTCTTATATAGATTTAAAATTGTGGTAAGTGCTTTGACCCAAACAATGCACTAGGTAGATTTTCAAAGTTAAGCATTTTGTCTTATATTTTAAAACAATAGCATCTTTTTAAATGAAACCAAATGGTGACATTTTATGCTAATTTGTACTTGCACAAAACCAATAGGAAAATATTCTGCACTTGCAAAAGTTGGCATTATCTATAGCAGTCTTCATTTTCCCTGTTGCTTAAAGGACAAAGCTCAGCCAGAGACACAAGCCACCAGTTTTGGAAACATCTTGTTTAATGCCAAACTGGCAGTGGATGACCCTGAAGCTCTTCTTTTAGTGAACCAGCCTGGATCTGATGGATTTAAAGTCGACTCAACACCTCTCTTTCAGGTGGGCCAATAACAAGCTCACTTATCATAACTATATAACCACAGGCAAGTTACTCAACATCTGAATGTCTCAGATGTCTCATATGTAAAGGGAAGAAATAGAGGCCGGCCTGGTGATGTAGTGGTTAAGTTTGGGCATTCTGCTGTGGCGCCCCAGGGTTCGCAGGTTCAAATCCCGGGTGCGGACTGACACATTGCTCATCAAGCCATGCTGTGGCGGTGTCTCACATACAAAACAGAGGAAGATGGGCCCAGATGTTAGCTCAGAGCCAATCTTCCTCAGCAAAAAAATAATAAATAAAAAAATAAAAATAAATGGAGGAAATAGTACTATTGCATATAGTTAATGTGAACATTGATTAAGATAATGCATGTATACCACAGAGGACCATAGTGGGCACATAGTGAGCATTTCATAAACTCTAGCTATTATTATTTTTACTAATGTGTTAATATTATTTTAAGTCTATGTGTAATGAAGACCCTTATTCAGTCCAGAATATAAATCTAAGTCTGATGGTTGGGAACTCTGCTTTTCTCATTCAGAAGTTCCTTCTTGTTGACTTTTCATGACTGTATTTTTTCAAGTGATCTTGTGTGAACTACTGGACTCAGAAAAACAATTGTGCACAGCACATAAATCTCCTCTCTTAAAGACTTTATAAACCAAGATAGAAAATCCTAATCCAGAGATAGAAGAGACACAGGCAACTAACAACAGTGAGCAGACAAATGAGACAAATTCAGAAATGTGTTCACATCATGCATCCTTAGGAGAGCAAGTGCACCTTTTAAGATATTTACTGAAAATTATCCAGATAGGATGGGCTGGAGAAATGTGTTATCCTTATTCAACCTAAAGAGAGAATCTTAAGGAAGTATATTTGTTATTCTGAATCTTTTCAAACAAGAATTTGAAGTATGATATTTTTTGTTTTCATTTTTACTGTTAATTCTCAAAGCATTTGACCTCTTCTAAATCCTGAAGGCTTCAAAGGGCCATCAGAAAATCCCTTCTTTTCACAGGCCCTGGAAAAGCAGAAAAACTGACCTTTTCTATGGTCTGACATGTAAACAACCAGCCAGACATACTGGAAAAGAGTCCTGAGGTTCAGAAGAACTGAGCCCTAGTCCTGCCTCTGCCACTAACTAGTTAAGTGATATTGAGCAACTCACTTAACTACTACGTATTCTTATTTACTCATTTTTTAAATGAATCAGTTAGACTATGTGATATCTAAAGTTTTTTATAACTCTGACATTCTATGACTACAAGTCATAGATTACCAAATCTTTACCAGCACATGCTCCCTTCAGAGTTGCACAGTACATTTTATAGAGTGCTTTACACTAAGCCTTGCACATACTACACATGCAAAAATATTAAGTACATTAATTCTGCAGACTAAATTATCATTTATTATCTCTGCTGTTAATTTCGCTTGCAAATAGTCACGAATTAGATTGGTCTAGTATTTAACTTTTTAACCGACAGAGTTGTGTTTTCTAGGTTGCTCTGGGCCGAGAATGGTACATACACACCATCTACACAGTGAGGTCAAAAGACAACGCCAATCGAGGCATTGGTAAAAGAAGTGTGGAGGACCAGTACCACTCTCTGGTGGGTCAAGGGAAGCCCCAGGCAAATACCAAGAACCGGAAGAGGAGGGAGATGCGGAGCACACCCCCTCTGGTGTGGGAAATTGGTGCTGAAAACAACCGAGGAACAAACATCCAGCACATTGCCCTGGACCGCACCAAGCGGAAGCAGATCCCCCAAGGGCGCGTTCCTCCTGACGGCATTCTCCCCCGGGAGCTCAACAGTCCCAGCTCTGAGGTCAGCCTGGTCATGATTGTGGGGGGCATCGCCGTGGGATTACTCACCCTCTGCCTCACTGCCATTCCAGTGATGATGTGCAAGAGCAAGAAGAGCGCCAGGAGGAAGGATGCTCTGAAGGGCTTAGGCAGCAGCAGGCCCATGATGCCCCCACAGAGCCACCACAGCGACAGCTCAGAGGTTTGATGACTGCAGGTGGAATTAAACCTTTTCCTCCAGTGCGTCAGACAAGACAACAGAACCCCAAATGCTTCTTGTAAATGGCATAAAATTGGAGACTTCTGTGATGAAGCTGCTCAGAGGAACTGACTGTACTAATGAACTTTGATTTGAATTCTGTCTACTCTTTCATGCATCAAAAGACAAATTCAGGCCGCAGACCATATCCTTCCTCTTGCCCAGAAGGCAGCAACAATGTATTCACACATACACAGAGCCATAGATGGACGATGAGGAATGTATTTCTCATTTTAGGCCTTTTCTCTACACAGTGGAGATGAACCTATTCAAAGGTGCTAACAAGACTCTCAGAAGTTTTACGAGTAGTCTATTGTTGCTATATTAGTATGAACGTTGAAGGTGCAATTGTCACATTGTTTATTCATTGTATAACGGTTTGTTACTAGAAAGATTTTAATTGGTAGTCTGGAAGAATGATAAACACACTGTTTATGACAAGTTTTCTAATTGGCGAAGACGGCACAGAATTATGACCAGGGGTAGCTCAACCCACAAATTACCTTTTCTACTACTTGGGAGGGAGCGGAAGAAAGATAGAGGGAAAGTAACTCACTAACTTGGGTTTGAATTGTTTCTCATCCTCTGCAGACCCTCCTTGTTTTATTTGCGTATTTAATTTTAAATTAAACCAAAGAATATGCTAAGTCTGGAAGAGATTGATGAGGCAAGACTGCTCTATTTTGGTATACAGTGAGAAATAGCAGAGTTCTTGCATGATAATATACGTTATTGGTGCTCAACATTTGTAGGAAATGAGAGGGTTGGTGACACTTTGATGATGAAGAAATGCCATAGAGTTAGATTTACATTTACAAGACAACGTTCTCTAAGAACTGAGCCTAGATGTTTGCAGTATTGAACTCATAAATGATAATGAGAAACATCATTACAGATGGTAGAGGGAGAAAGTGGTATTTATTAATATAATATGTTTAACCAAAGTGCCTCTTATACATACTTTATAGAATAAAAGAACATTGTAACAGATGATACATGAGGTTAACCCTCAGAGTAGCATAATCACACAACAATGTCCAGAACTTAAATTGGCCATAGGAGATTTTATTAGCTTTCTAATAGACATCTGGTCCAAACCATGGGAATCTCTGCAACTGTCATTCCAGTGATAGTCTTGGAGGTGGCCAGCGTCACTGATCATATTCTTCTTTGATCAAAGCAGAAAACATCAGTCTTGGGCATCTCCAGTTCAGTGAACTGATGCAGTGAGGTCCATCTCAGTATCTAAAAATATAATTTGTAGCACTGCCTACAGTGTTAAAAAACAAGGAACTTGAGTGAGGTTGCTCAGCAAACCTCCTATTGCCTTTCTGAGAAATGTGCTTTCACCAAATGGCAGAAATTTCAGTTCAAAAGGGAAAATGTCAGTAGTTTAATGAGCAGTCTTCCCAAAGCTAGTAAATGTATTTCAAACAAGACTAAGGTCAGGAGAAAAAGAATCATACCTAAAGAGTAACCCTCAAGTGCTGCCCAGGATCCCCTTTCACTTTTAGTCATAATCTGACCAAGCTGGACATCCAGATGGAATGGAGATTTCTAGAAGGCCAACATCTCCTCAGGTCATACAGGCACATCTTATCTGGTGTTTGTGAGCACCAACCATTTCTTGATTGAAAAAAGGAAGCTACACTGGTGCTGAGAGAGAGTTGAAAAGTGTCTAATACTTGCCTCTCTTCTTTGGGGCAGCTCTGCACGTAACCTTCAAAGTTTTCTAAAGAACAGAGTAGACTGTAGTCTCCTTCCATTGGGGAATTTACAAATGTCACCTGCAACTCAAATGTCCCCCAAAGAACTTACAGAAATGGAAAATACTGTATAGCCCAGGAGTTCATGTGTCAAATATTTATTATTAATATCAAATATTAATACTTTCTTAATTATCCCCTTTTCTTTTGCTTTGCCTTCTGGCAGATGCTTAGGTACTTCTTTAGCTACCTCATCACTTGTATAAGAATGAGCAGGAGTTAAGCAGCTTCAAATAGTGCATGGACTTTTTACTACTTAGCAATGGGTTCAACGTACCTAGACTGTTAGAGCAAGTACTCTCAATCTACTTTGTTACTCTAGTATTTAAGATGCTTCAGAGCCTGACTATCATGCAGTCTTGAGGATATCTGTCACCAAATATAGTAGTCAGTGAAGCATCATTAAAACAAGTCTGTTTTGAGCCTTTGGGCCAGGCTGGTTTTATACCCAATTTCACTCTACAATGAGTTGTTCTAATGAGACTTCTAAGTATAAATTGGAGAACTTAGAGAACATGTCTGTTCTTTCCTACTGAAGAAAAATCTCTCCCTCTCTACCCATCTCCTTTTCTCTTTCTCTCCTCTCTCTCTCTTTTTCCTTCTCTTCCTCCCCTTGAAAAAGATAGTCTGTGGGAAATAGCCAGATACAGCTTTCTTAAGTATAGAGTACTTGGATTTCTGCATCATTTTCTTAATATCTATTTACTTAATATGTGATTTAATATACATTAATCATAAAAACCTCTTTTTAGTAGACAAAAGAATCAGACAAAATGCTTTCTCGTTCAATACAACAGACCCTTATTTCAATATTTTGTTTTTAGAGAATTATTCTGATACTGTCAGAACAAATGCATAAAATAACTTTCCATAGAGAACAGGATGTAAGCAACAATGTTACAACAGGATGTAAGTTCCTTAGATACTCAGCAGCTTCTGACCCCAATTAAAACAAGGTCTTCTTGATATCGCATAGTAAACCCAAAACACAAAAATAAATATTAAGCATTAGTGGCTCTCCTAGCATATGAACCATGAAGCATTAGAACACATCATTGTGTTTTAATAATGGTTGTATTTATTCCAGTTCATTCCCTCAGTTAACATTTACTGAATGCTCACCTAGGATTAGCCACTTTGAAAACTTACTTAGAAACCAAGCTACTCTCCCTGCCCTTGGGCAGATTATAATCAAATGTGGCTCTTTCTTTGGACTAAAGGGATCAAGATTCGCCTTAGGTGGGTTTGGAAGGACAATTCCATTAAATTACTGATTGGAAATATTTTATATTAGATCTGTCATCAGAATGATCCATAACATGTGGGGTGTTTTGAGATGAAAGAGTGAACTCTACTGCTGGTGCTCTGGAGAGATTTTTAAGTTGTGGTTCACAGATGCGCCTGGTGTGTTCTTGGTCCTGGGGCCAAGACTCACACAGGGAAAGTACATTGCAGAGATGTGGGTGGCCCCTGCATATTTGTTTCCTCCTAATGGAAGACAGGAGCACTTTATTCTAAGAGTGAGATACAGCACATGAGCTCTTCTTTCAGTGCTTTCACATCATCAGCAACTCGCACAAGCATCTACAATGTTTGAACAATATGAGAGAAGGTCAACTAGAATTCTGCTAGCATGCTACTGCATAGCATTTGTGATAAGAAGGACCAACTCTAGGCTCAATATGAAGAGATTTAGTTCTGTAAGCAGCAAAAGAACTGCTTTATCATGTTATCTTAACTGTAATTCTTCTCCAGGGTGCCAACATCAAGATCAACTTTAAAAATGACAATGGACCTGTGTAAAAAATCACAGAGAGCCTTTCCTCATAAAAATCAGTGCTAAGGGTTAAAATAGTCTCTGACTGAGAAATGTTAAAGTAACAATAACAGAACAAAACCAGAACATTTAGATTTTAAAAGTTGGAAATTTGATTTCTGCTACTATTTTGAAAATATCTATTTAATATTGACTTGGAAACCAATTTAGTCCTTTAATAGGAAAAAGAAAAATATTTATAAGGGTACAAATTTTTTACAAATTTGAAATTTATATAATTGTATTAATTTGAAAACAAGCGTGTTATGATTCTTTGAAACGCTTTCATTTTTTCTAGCCATGATAGCAATAATAAAGGGATGTCTTCACTAATCATGTAGCCTGAAATGTTCAATCAGTCCAACTTGCCGAGGCTTAGAAATGTGTGATTTGGCAGGAAACTAGAAATACTACTGTTATCACACACACACGCACACACACAGGCACACATGCATATAATAACAACCAACATCTCACTTCTAGAAAAAGATGACCCTAAAAACATAATTCTAACTGAAATGGCCCATATGAAGATTTTCAAGAAGATAAACAGTGATCATTTGTGAAAACAGTATCGTGGGAGTTTCTCTGACATTAGTTCAAAGGTTAATGTGTTTCCTTAAGATTTTTCCTAGGATTGATTCCAGTATTGCATGGTAATAACATAGAAATTATTATCCATGGGTTTAAAGTATCCCTCACTGTCTATTTCTCCTTGTTTTCATGTCCTTTGATGTTAGGAACAAAAGACTTTGAGATTCGGATAGTTATTTTGATTTTGATAGGAGATTTTAAAATAGAAGTGCATGGTATTTTCCTGCAGTTTTTACCGGAACGATTACACAGAAAATTTTTAAATAGGGAAAGAAAGCTGATTCTCTCTCTTGAACTAAAGTAGATAAAACAAAATACATTAATGTGGGACTCTCTTTTGATTTAATCTATTTGGAGAAAAATCAGAATATTGAATTTGCAAACTGTTAGATAATTATGTTTTCTTCCTTATCTTTCACGTGCATTTATTTCCTTTTCCCTAGTATTTGTTTGTGCATGTTTTTTTCAGTATTGTATTTTGCTAAAGAATAACATCAAAAAAAAGCGTGCTCTAGCCATGACATCTACTTTTCCTTTCCTTTCTTTTTTCCTTTCTTTCTTTAATCGACTAGGGTTATTCTTTCTCTGAGATTTGTTTTTCATTCTTTCAGTAATGCTTCACTTTTAGTTTTGAAACCATTACCATTTTCACTACGTAATTAGCATTCTCATTCATCTGAAAGCTGGCAAGTGTGCACAGCCTGTGTGCAGTATCCCTCATTTATATAATGTTAAGGCTTTTGGATGAAGGAAAAAAGAACTCCCTGCAAAAAATCAAAAGCATCATATTGAAGGATGTGATGACAATCTGTGCCTTGATTTCTCTCAGTGGCGGTTCAACATTGACATAAGATGTAAAAAGATCTCTTTGAGGATTTAATCGAGTACAAATAAAAGGTCAAAGATCACATCTATGAAGTTGTTTTGGATGACTGAATACTTTGCAATGAAATAAATGGCAAAAAGAAAATTTGTTAAAATGCTAACAGCATTGAAGTGTGTAAGATTATAATTACCAAATGCTTTTTACTCTTAGCCAGCTGCCCGCACTGCTGCTTGCAGGATTCCTTAGACACGCTAAGTGAATTTCTACTACAGATATTTACTTGTTCCAATGTTTGAATAATCCTCTCACATAAGAATTGTCAGTATTGTGCCTTAAAAGAGAAGAAAGAAGAAAGAGAAATGTAAATTTTTTAAAACAAACATTAAAGATGAAGAGCATTATAATAAAAATCACTTAAAATATAGAAAGGCATTTACCGGTAAGAATAAAAGATAATTTCTGGAGGGGCCAAACTTAAGCACATTACAAAAAAAAGTACAAAGCAGAGTCTTTCTCCGTGGCTTCAGGAACTCAACTTTTTGGCAAGATATTTTTTTAAGCCCCTTTGTCTATAAAAGAAAACTTTATCCTGGACAAGGAGTTGTGTGTTTTATAATTGTGTTAAATGCTTGCTTCCTTCTCAAGTGCCCTGTGAAACACTCAGTAAATTTATATTTACCTAGCCACTGAGTGCCAGGTCTGTGTGTAATGGAATTATTTCAGAACTTAATAAGCCTTGTGATTTTCCCAGGAGAATTCTTCAAAAACTAACACGGTCTGGTTTTTTCATATATTTACTAGGATACTGCATATTTGCTGGATATCGAAGTTTATCTCTGGGAATCCAATTATGCAAATAATTTGGAGCCATTCAGTCTTAAATTCATGTCTAAAATAATTCTTACTACCATTGTTTTCCTTCAAAATATATCACATGTTTAATAAAGCCCATGTAATATGAATGTGTTACAATGGCCATGTTATTGTGGTGCATGCTATAACTTTTATTTACACTGAAAGCATAGAATTCCTGTTGTCTGCAATGGATGTCGGTTATTTCCCTTCTGGTTCTGGAGCCTTGAACTTCTGTAGGCTTCCAGACTGGGACCTGCACTTCCACTACCACCTTGATGCTGGTGGTAAAGATTGCTGCTCCTCAGCAGGCTCTACCTGCAGGATCTTAGTGCTTGCTCAGCAGACACAGCCAGAGCCCTGCCAGGGTCAATGTATATTTAGAGGCAGCAAGTCATCTATTGAGATGACTTACACTTTGTCCCAGGGAGCAGGGTGACTAGACTGCGCTACGGTTACCAAACCCTGCCCAGCTGACTCATGAGGATGAATCAATCGACGATCTGATCCATTGCTGGGGGTCTTTACTGCCAAGGTAGACTAGTCAGCTTCATGCAAACTGCAGCTAAGTCAATAATCATTT